GGGGGGGGAGAATTATAGGCTTGGGAGGGCGAATAGCTATCTGTGCCTGTGGCGTTTGTATTGGGAAGAGGCAAAAAAGCCTGTAAGAAAATTTTTTATAAAGGCTTTCTGCCGCTGGAAGGTTTAACGAGCACAGCCTGGAAAAGGCTATTTTTTGTCTCCTTCCTCAAATGGCTCCGTCTTCCTACCAAGATCCTTCCCTGGGTAGGAAGGCGCTAAGCAAGCTTTCAGGTGCGTGTGGAGAGGTAGGTGGTGGGAAGGGGGGGGGAACAGCCGCCTCTGCCGGTGGCGTTTGTCCTGGAAGGGATCGGGGCCCTTGAAGATCGCTGTGACCGGGAAGGATCCCTGCCGGGTTCCCCGGAGGCGAGAAAGAGAGCGCAGGGGTTTCGAAAAGGTTCCTGCCAGGGAACTAGGAACAAACTTGTGTCTACTCATGGGGGTCGGTACTAAAAAATCTACCTCCTTGCGTCTCATTTCTCCCCAGTGTCCATTAAACATAGAGGAGTACAACAAAAATGATAAGGAACATGTAATGCCGGTAAAACAAACATCCCGTCGAACAAAAATTCCCCAAGACTGAAGGAGGAGGAGTGGGAGAGAGAGGTACTGTAAGAGCTTTAAGTGAGGCTGTCACTGGACCAGCTGGGATTTTGGATCTGTCAGTCAGGAAGAAAAAGAGAAACAAACCTCTGGGAATAGTTACTGGTTGTGAAAGATGTGCAGATTTTCTAGGTGGACTGGAGTGGAGGTTGTGTGGTTCAGTGCCAAACGGGAACTACCTCAGACAGATATTTTTATGTCAGTTTCCTCCTGTTGGGTGACCAGAGTACAGTGGACCCTCAACTTACAGACAGCTCGAATTACACACTTTTCGAATTACAGACTTCTCTGGCTGCAAAATTTAGATTCAACTTGCAGCCAGAGAATCGACTTACAGACCAGAAAAACCCCAAAATGGAACAAAAATAGAATAAAAACTGCTGGTTATGGGATTAATCGGTTTTCAATGCATTGTAGCTCAATGGATATTCGACCTACAGACTTTCTGACTTGCAGCCACCGTTCCAAGACGGATTAATTCTGTAAGTAGAGGGTCCACTGTAGACCAGATGGGCAGGGTATAAATAAATAAATAAGTAAACAAACAAACAAACAAACAAACAAACAAACAAATATGGGATTCCAGTACTGTATGTTGATTTTTTTTCCTGCTTGGCATATGCCACATCTCTCAATGTGATGCATACTATATTATCTCAGTAATGCCCCATTGTATTGTATCATGAACATTAATGCCAAGAAAGTACAAACGGTGTGTTTTAATGTGCCATAGATTTTATGACAACTGCACGTATGGCCAAGCTTTTGCTGCCTTTCTCTATCTTGCAGGCAGCAGAATGACAACACTAGGCGGGTGCTGCACCTGAGAGACATCACTTGCCAGCTTCTTCCCTCACATGTTTCTCAGGCATCACAGTAGGAACTGCAGGAATCTCTGAGGTAACCCAGCTTACACTGCCTTTCTCTGCCTTGTAGGCAGCAGAATGCAGGCAGCAGAAGCAGGCTTTAAATCATCACCTCTGTGCTGTGGATGGGAAAGAATGGCCGTACCTCTGTCTCAGGTAAGGAAAGGAGTATCAGGGAGAGATGCAGAAGCAGCCTCGGTGCTCTAATACTTGTTACTGAGAGGAATCATGAAAGAATCCAGTGGTGCCTCGATTTACGACCATCCCGACATACGACCATTTTGTATGTCGGGACTTGCGGCTGGAGTTTCGAGTTGCGATCAAAAGAGGCAGGGAAAAAAGGCAGGGAAATTCAGGTTTGCTAACCCATTGGTAGGCGAAGAGGCTGCTTCGCCTGCCCCAACGGTTAGAGTGTGTGCGTCGGAGGAGGCTTCAGACTGCCTGGAGCTGCTTTCTGC